TCCATATCACCCTTTTTCATGATGGTAACCTGAACTTTGGGGAAGATGGATTTAGGCTTGATAACCGGCTAACTGTGAGACCCTGACAACCAGTGCCCAACTGCAACATATGCATAATTATAAAATCAACTTCATAAAATATCCTGCCTGGATCCAACTGCATGGAAAGCGAATAGCGGCATGCCTGGCACAAGGAAAAGGTTCAATTAAGGTTTATTGTTGGTCAAGACTCCTTTCTAGGAAGCTTCTACTTTCCTGAGCCTAGCCATGCAACCGTTGCTGGAAGGCATCCAGGAACTGTGGTTTTTTTGGCGGTGGACCCACCCGTTAATCGGATCCAGCCTCACAGCTGGCCAGCCCTCCCTTAACTGACCCAAAACCTTCCACCACGTCTACCAGGGAAGTGACCCTCTGGGTTTCCTTCCATCGACCCTTCCCAGTTAAAACTTCGCTTCACTGTGGGACTGATTTCCCCCAAAACCTCCCTGTAGTGAACCCACCCTCATAGGGCCTAGGAGTACAGGGATGTGAGAAAAGAGGTCACTTGGTTAAAGGCAAGAGTGACATATCCTTGAAAAGTCTAAAAGCCGGTTTAAAAAGGGACGCTGTGTTTCGGGCGTGGTCCCCGAGCGCTCCTGGGCATCGAGGTCCCGCCGCCCAGAGGGGCACTCCCAGCCCGGGAGGACTCCTGGGAAGGCCTGGCCGGGTCTCAAGGAGCTGCGGCAGGGTCCCTAATCCGACAGGGGCCCGCCGCCCCTCGCAGTGCTCGGCGCCCATCGCCCAGAGCACATCTGGAATCCACTGGTTCGCCAGGCCCAGGCCGGCAAAGGGAACCCCGCTACCCGCGCCCGCGCCCCAGGGACGGCCACGCCCTCTGGCCGCTCCGGGACTCACCGCCTCAGCGCCCACTGCTCTCCCAAGCTCACCGGCAAATGCCCAGGACGCAGGCGCGGAGTCACTCTGTGGACTACACTTCCCGACAGGCTTCACGCGGCCCGCTGCGTTCAGGGCCCACAAGGATGCTGACGTGGGAGGGGCTGGGGCTCTCCAAAGCTTCCTAGCTGTAAACGGCTTTGGAAATGTTCCCATTTGGGGTCTAATGACTTCTTGGCCCTGGGGGACTGGTGGGGCGAGCTGGGGGTCAGGAACTAAGTGAGAGCTTCTGCCCAATAGCCTTAGAGTAATGGGAGCAGGTGGGAAACATTTTTTAAATCTGCTACGACTTAGTCAATGCTTCTTAAACCTCTCTATGTGTGTGTGGCAGGGGAGTTCTTGAGAGAGCTTGTTTTAAATTCAGATTTTTGGGCCCTGCCCAAAAAGCCAACACTGATTCGTTGGATCTCGTATGAGCTTGGGGATTCATATTTAATAGGCTTTTCTGGAGATCCGACTCTGGTTGTCTGCCACAGGACACAGTGGCCTTGGATTTGCTTGGTAGGTTCTTCTTGAACTGAGCTTTGATCTATGGACCCTGTCCATTCCTTTTCACCTTCAACCACCACGAGAGGCCTCTTGGGTCTTAGGGTTCACCTTGTGGTATGGCCTTGTGTCTTCCCATTGGTCTTTGCTGATCCTGCCCCTGAAAGCAAATTTTTCCTTCCTACAGGACAGTAGCCAGTTGTGGTAAGGCCTGATCCAATGGCCACTAGATACAGTGATGTTGATTAGAAAAAGTCCTCAAATTGGTCCCAGGCTAGCACTATTGGTGTGCAGATGGCAAACTTTAGTGCTAGGATTTTGTGTATAGGAGCCAGGACCCAGAAATGTGTGGGTTCACAACAGCAAGTTTAAAGCTGCCTGTCCTCATGCTTCCAGGAGGCTCTGATGGAAGCAAACCGGGCTTGGAGAATGGGGTAGCACTTGCTGAGCATCCACAGACCACTCAGACCAAGATACTGGAGATGGCTCTGCCCAGGCCCAAGTTGTTCTCTTTGGTCAAGACTTGGAGACCCAGGAACCCAGAGTCCTGGAGAAGCTGTCATGTCTCTCACATGGCCACGATCAACTTAGATGGTCAGTTCTGAAGATGGCCACTGTCAGTTCCCAGCTGAGGTGGTCCAGGAGACTAAGGATGGCATCGGGTCCTGGATCCTAGTGGAAAGGGAGGGTTCCTTGTGATAGTGGGAAGTGCAGGAGCTCCTCCCACTGGAGCCAGGAACTGTCCCTTTCTGACCCAATACCCAGTGTGGAGGCCATCCACTTTGTTTTTGAGAGTTTTACTTCCAAGAGACTGCTGGGTGCCGAGAAATCCTCAGGCAGTCCCTGGAGCTTTGCCTTGGATGGTTCCAACCTCACATATGTACCTGGGCTCTCAGGTGTGCTCTCGTAGCAAGAAGGAGTAGGAAGAAAGATGGACAAATTGTCTCTAACATACAAGACCCTGACCAGTTTGGGATAAGTATAGTACAGGCTGTTCTTTTGCATATCTAATCTGGCTGACCTGGGGCCCACCATTTGACATCTGTGCCAACATTATCTCAGGCCCCCAGGGGATGAAAGAAGCTGGACAAGGGGTGAGGATTTGGCTCAAGGTGATCTGGGAACCCCCACAGTTGGGTTTTCCTGGTGGTTGAATTATAAAATCTTTGGGTTAAGCACATTAGGCTTTCAACAGGAACTGTGAAACTTTTTTTAATCAGTCAAGGCAGTTTTTTTATAATAATCGAGATTTTGAAGAGCCACATTCCTACAGTAGGATTGGGGTACCCTGTTTTATTGTAGAGTTCATGGGGATCTAGTTTTCTAGGCTTTCTTTTTTTTTTTTTTTTTTTTTTTTTTTTTTT